GATGGGAAAGGTGTGCCTGTGGATGGGAAAGCTGTACCTGAGGATGGGAAAGGTGTACCTGTGGATGGGAAAGCTGTACCTGAGGATGGGAAAGGTGTGCTGGAGGATGGGAAAGCTGTTCCTGAGGCTGGGGGAGCTGTACCTGAGGCTGGGGGAGCTGTACCCCAGCTCACAGCCCCCCTGGGTGAAGTTCCCTCCAAATCTGGGTCAGCACAGGAAGCTGCGAGCCCAAAACCCGTCCCAGAGCAGGAATTACTCCTTAATTGTTTTCTCCCCCTCATTAACAGCCTTCATTGAGCAGCTTCCCAGGGCTTTGCAAGCATGAATGAGGGACGTTTTTAAGGGCTTGCTGGGTACTCCAGGAGCTGTACCTGGAGGAGGAGGTGGGAAGAGAAGTGATTATGCCAAGTCTTAGGGAGAGGTGGAAGCTCTGGGGTGATCCAGCAGCTCGTTGCTTTAATGTGCAGCGAGGAACCCGAAGCAGATCCTGATCTTGTGCTGTTTTGGCCAAGATTTCGGGGCTGGTGTCCTCCCAGCTGGGGAATGTCCCCTGTCCCTGCCCTCGGGGAGGGCTGCTCTGGCTCCAGCCTCATTCCTGGAGGTTAATTGTGTCTCCAGGCAGGTCCAGTGCCCTTTTAGTGCTCCGTAATTTCCCTGGCAAAGCAGCAGGAGTCAAGTTGGGGTTTAATTATTCATTGCAATGCACCGGGAGGTTACTGTGCTTAGCAATGCACCGGGAGGTTACTGTGCTTCCTAAACGCGCTTTAATCAAGGTGCTGTTTGTCATTGGAGCACGAGGAAACCCGGGGAGCTGGAGGAGGGGTTTGGAATGGCCTGGAGAAGGACCCTCGGGGCTGCCTGGAGCCTGTTCCCTTCCCTGTGCCCCCAGAGAGCATCACCCTGGGGAGAGCAGGCACGGGGAGATGGGCTGGAACCCCGCAGGAGGTGGAGATGGCTCAGCCTGGCATCCCACCTGGCATCCCACCGGTGTCTCCTCCTCCCAGATTTCCAAGGAATGCCACTGAGGAGCCGCTGGGCTCGGAGCAAACCCTCCTGCCCCGCTCCCTGTCCCTCCTTGGCCACGCAGGCTTTGGAGCGGCTCCGTAATCCCGCGGGACAAACGCTGCTGCCTCGGGCCGGGAATAACCCCGGGGTGCATCCCTGGGACACAGCAGGCTCCACCCTGGCTCCCCACCCCGCAGGGATCCTGGGGAAGGGATGCCCCAGCACTCCTGGATCGATGCTCCAGCTGCTGCTCAGCCTCAGCCGGGGCTTTCAAAGTCCGGCCATCGATTAATTTTTATAGATATATATATATTTTATTTATTTTTTCCTGTGGCCGCCGGGGTTTGGGGAGAGCGTTTCCTCTCCTGAGGGCCGTGGCTGGTTGTCCTGAAATCGGCTTTTTTTTTTTTCCCGGGGTTTAACCCGGCAAAAGCACGGGGGTTTTCCCTGAAATCCAAGATGGGAGAAGGGGGATTTGCCCCCGGCCTGGATCACGCTCAGGTTCCCTCTGGAAGGGGTGGATTGTGGTGGATGAGCCCCTGGAGTGCAGGTGGGGACACTCTGGGGCTCTCAGAGGATGAGGGTCTGTACCCCTGCACTGAAATATTCCTATTTTCCCAAGGAACGGGGTGGAAAACCATCTTACAGCGGGTTTTTAGGCAAATGGGGGGGTTGGAACAACAATAAAACAACCCAGAGCTGAGCACAGCCCCTCAAACCTCCAGCCTGCAGCTGGCCCAGGCTGGGGGGCCATGGCCAGGGAATCCCAATCCCTTTTCAAATCCCAATTCCCTCAACTCCTGGAGCCACTGCCAGCCAACCCCGGCTGGGACAGGGAGCTGAGCTGGCAGCAGGACCCACCCACCCCCTCCCCAGCAGCCAGAGCCGACCTGAACCGCTCCAAAATCAGCTTTTTTCCTCGTGTTTCAGGCTTTTTTTTTTTAAAGGCTTTTTGGCTTCCCCCCTTCCCAAATCCCAGGCTGGTGGTGGTGGGGGGGTTGCCCGTGCCGAGATCATTCCCCGTGTGGGTTTTAATTTGCTTTTCCTCCCTCCCTCCCTTCCTCCTTCTCTCCCTTTCCTCCCACGGCAGGAGAAGAATTTTATGAAGCTTCCCCCTACGAGCCGGTCACCTCTCGTCTCTCTGATATATTCAGACTCGCTTCAATTTTCTCAGGTAATAAAAGCAACACGCTCTGGCTGCTTTATCTTCCCCTTGCCCGGGGAACACAGACCTGCCACCGAGAGAGCTCCCTGGCAGGGAAAACCTGCAGCTCCTCCCCTCCCCGGGGCTTGTCCTGTAGCTCCTGCAGCTCCTCCAGCTGCTTTCCTGCCCCTCTCGTCGCCCATCACCCCAAATCTGGTGCCCTGGGGGGACACGAGGCCTCCCTGGAGCTGGCTGGGATGCTGGAGGGGGGTGGAGGGGCTGGATCCCGCCTGCTGGTGCATTTTGGGGCAGATCCTCTCGGTTTCAGCCCTCCCTAGGCTGGGATTTAGGTTTTTTTACCTCCCGGATTCAAGGGCGGATTTACAGGAGATTGCTGAGGTTGGGCTGGAGAGGCTGAAATTCCCCTAAATCCCTGATTTCCCTCGTCCCCAGCACCGGGGTGGGGAGGAGTGGGGGGGCACAGACTCCCTGTTCCACATCTTCTGGAAGATTTGGGGCCCTCGAGGTGCCTCATATTTGGGGGGGCTGAGGGGGGACCCTGTTTGCTGTCCCTCCTGGGGGGGATGGCCTGGAGCCGAGCTCTGGAATGCTGCTGGGAGAGGGATGCCGAGCCCTTTGGAGCATCTCCGTGCCCCTTGGAGCATCTCTGTGCCTCCTCCCACCCCCCCAGGATCCCAAACTCCACCACCGTCCTCGGCAACTTCTTTTTTGCCGTCCATTTCCATGACAACCTTCCCTCCGCCACCCCCCACCCCCTTCCCAAATTAGGTCAGCAGTGCCTTGGCTTCTCCTCGCTCTTTCTCCTCCTCACCCTTCCCCCCAAAACCCGCCTCACCGTGGGGTTTTGGGGTGGGTGGAGGATGTCCCCGTGTCCCCAGATGTCACAGTGTGAACTCGGGGGGTCGTGCAGCCCCGCCCGGAGCCCCCCCAGCTCACCTGGGGACCCCCCTGAGCAGGGCCGGGACGGTGCATCCCCCCCCTCTCTCTGCTGGGTTTGAGCCCCCCGAGGTGGATTTTCCCGGGATTGGGATGTTTGGGATGTTTGGGATGAGGCTGCCTCCCCCCTCCCGGGATCACATCGGCGTCAGGGAAATATTTGAGCTGCTGGAAAGTAGGAAAAGCAAAAAAGAGTGTGGGGCGGGGGATTGAACCCTCCCGGGTTGATTTATTGACACCGGCAGAGCCCGTCCGGCGATTTTGGGGCTGGGGGAAGGGGTAGCTCCGTGCTGCGGGCTCAGGGCTTCTCCCACCCCTTCCCTGCCCCCCTGGCCGGGGCTGGGGGGGTGCGAGCAGCCCGCGGGTGCCCCCCGGGACCCCCAACCCCGACCTGAGCGCGGGCAGTGAAGGGAACGAGCTGTTAGTGCTGGTTGTTGTGGAGAAGGAGCTGCTGCTAATTGCCTGGGGGGGAGCCAAGGGGGGGATTAGAGGACCTTGGTGCAGGAAAGGAGGGGCTGCGAGCCTCGTGTGAGCCATGGGGAGTGTGCCAGGGCACCAGGAGCCAGCGCTGACCCTCCCCCGGGCAGGGGGGCCGCGCTCCA